GGGGGAATGGCGCCTGGTGCTTCTAGAGACAGAGAAACAGAGAAAAGGAAAGCAGAGAGACAACTGGGGGACCTAGACAGTGGGGGATGTAGACACAGGAAAGGACATTGAGACAGAGAGAAGAAAGAGAAAGACAGACATGGGCAGAGGGGGGCACTGTCCACTGTTCTAGTCCATTTCTGTTGTTTATAACAGAAATACCTGAAACTGGGTAATTTATAAAGAAACAATATTTATTGCTTACAGTTTCAGAGGTTGGGAAGCCCAAAGCCCAGGAAAACATCTGGTGAGGGCTTTCTTTGGTGGTGACTTTAGTGATGAATGGCATCCCCTTGTGAGAAAGCCAGAAGCACAAAAGAGCTAACCTCCCACTGGCTTCCCTCTTAAAGCCCTCAAAGTATGCCCATGACCACCATTAAACCACGAATGGATTAATCCACTTACTAGAGTGTGATCTTCACAAGCCAATCATCTCTTCAAGGATCCACCTTTCGATTACCATAATAGGATTTCCCACCCTCTCAACACTGTCACTGTGGGGTTGTAGAGTCAGTGAGCTTTGGGGGGACATCTACCCCACAAGAGGAACCCTCACATATTTCGGTTCCCATGGAATGGGATGAGGAAGGGTGAGTCCTTCTAAACTTGCGATCTCTTTGTTCCTAGGAGTCTACAGAAAACCTTCTCTCTTGGCCCAGCTGGGTACCCTGGTGAAATCAGGAGGGAATTTGACCCTGCAATGCTTCTCAGAGACGGTATTTGAGAAGTTCATTCTGGTTCAGCACAGATCAGGGGCAACTGAGAACACATTGCACCTTGCTGGAGAGCTCCATCATGGGAGCTCCCAAGCCAACTTCTCCATGAATCCAGTGACATCTGCTCATGCAGGGACCTACAAATGTTATGGTTCTGTCAGTCACTCCCCCTATGAGTGGTCAGACCCCAGTGACCCCCTGGACATTGTGATCACAGGTGAGAGTACCCAAACCTGCCCTTCATTCTCTTCGGGATATAGGCTGGATATTCTAGTACGTGGAAGCCCCAGTTCATGATGAGGAAGATGAATGTGGGGATCCGGACTTGGTTACATCTACACCAACAGAGGCAAAGAAAGAGGAGAAACAAGTACAGACCACTTGTTATAACATAAAGGACAGATACAGGGGCAGAGACAGAGGAGTCATATGAGATACACAGCAAAGGGTGAGGTACAGAGAGATGTACACGTGGCAGAGAGAGAGTGTGCCCTCCACCCTGGTCTTTGACCGGGGACAGTTTAGAAGTTTGGTTGCCATTTTGCCTCCATACTCTCTTCACCACCAGGAGGACCCAAAGACACACCACATATCTGACCTAAGTTGGGCCCTGTGGCCTCAGCCCATTTGGCACTCACAGATGCCAGGTTTATTCTGACAGCTCTCCCTTCCATGTGGTTGAGTCATAACTTGTCCCTAAATATCATGGTTCCAGGTAAAGCAGACAAACACCAGCCCCATATGCTGTGTGTTTTCTAGGTCCCCAAACTGGTTTCTCAACCCTTGTTCCAAAGTAACCCCAGGTCTTATAGGATTACTGAAGACAAAAGCCCACAGAGAAAATCAGAGATCAAACAAGTCAATGAAAGACAAATGGAATCGCAGGCACACACACAGAGAGAGACAGACAGACAGAATGAGCCAGAAGAAGGGAACTGAGAAAGAGAGAGACTCAGAGACACATAAAGAGAAAGAAAGAGAAATTAAAGAAAATGGGGATAAAGAAGTGGAGAGGGTGCAGAGAAAAGCCCTAAAAGTCAAAGTCCCTAATGAGGCACACAAAGATAGAGCAAGATAGACGTGTGGATTGATGGCCAAGATTCCAAAAGAGAACTAGAGAGTCAGAGAAGCAGAGAAAGACATAGAGATAGAGGGAAGTAGGTAGATGATATATAGATAGAGATGAGACAGATAAGAGAGAGACGGACACACAGAAAGGCATGGACAAG